TAATTGAGTAATTTTTTATGACTACTGTCATTTGAGTTAAATCTTTAGATACTCAAACCACTGAGTAATTTCACTGAATGATAAAAATTGTTTTTGAGATTTGATTTTTTTTGTGTGTTCGTCTCTTTCTTTGGTTAGCCTCATTTCTGTGTGAATTTATTTCAGTCCTTCTCAGTCAATGCAGTTCATCTTGCTCCTCTATTTTAACTGTGTCTCTCGCCCCCAGTGCTCTCTCTCTCTCTCTCTCCCCTCACACCTGCAGCCTGTTTCCAATCAGCTATCTGTTTCTTGTTCACTAATCACCCTCCCCAGTAAACATGGAACTCATTCTCGGTTCCTCCCCGTGTCTCCACGGTTTTTAGTTGCAGGTTTTATTTTATTTATTTTTTTTCTTCATTAAATCCGTCAACATGACACCATGCTCCAAGCTCCAGTCTGCCTTTTGGTCCACTTACAAACTCACAATTTATGACAGTTTTATGCAAACAGAGAAGGAAAAAAAAAATGTCTGAAGCCATTATTTTTTAAGAAGGTGACGTTATATGAATTATTCTCATTATTGCTTGAAGTGCAATTATTTTCACATAGCTTTTATTATTTGGATCCATGTGGTGTCACTTTTAAACGTTCTGATCAGTTGCTCTGTACTTGAGTACCAAATACTTTTTCTTTTTCTTTTTTCATACTTTAGTAATATCCTACTTATTACTTCTGAGTAAAAATATGTCGAACTCCTGCTGCTCTGACATGAGCGCAATTATTGGATACTCTTCCGACCTCTGGCTATGTGTCGAACATCAATCTTGGGGAGCGAAGTGTAACACAATGGTCACCCAAGAACGATTTGGAGAAATTACACGGAAGTGTTGAGAGCAGCGTTTTGGATACCCAACATGCTGGCACACAACGTAGGGATTTAAAAGTAATGAAGTGTCAGGCCTGGTTCCCACGGTGGCAAAGGACCTCTCAGCTCAAAATGCAATAAAAAAATTTGAAAAAAAAAAAACTATAAAAAGTAAATGAAAGTGAGAACATATAGGTTGTAATTTGTGCTCTAATGTGAGAAATATAACTCCTGCGAATGGAAACAGCTGAAAGTCTCATTTTGGCTTCTGAACACTGAAAGAAAAGAGAATGTGGCTCCAACTTTAAAAAAAAAGTGTTAATTGGTCAAAAAGGCACTCAACCCACAGTAAATAAAGTTTGGCGGACTTTATTTACTGTTAATGTGACCAATTAAGAGCATATTTAAAGCTCCTGTCTTTTTTTCAGTATGGACCATGTTTGAATTGTTACGTGGTTTAGTCAAATCGACACATGATTTGACTAAACCACATTAGAAGTGAGGTTAAAGCACTCGTTTACAATCAGACAGCAGCAGTGGGCGAATGTTATTTCGATTTGACTCAGACTGGATAAAAAGACGCAGCCGCTGCGGACGATGTGACTTCCAGAGGAAACGTTTGCCGAGAGCCGTTATTGATTTACGCGGTGACCTGCGGACGTTTAGCACCGACGGAGGACATATAGAAAAAAGTTAATCCCGTATTAAAAGCAGGTTTGTGGGATTTCCGTCTTTCTCCTCTGGATGATTGCCAAAGTGTGAAACATCCTGTCCAAGACTGATGGAGAAACTAGTCCATGAATTGAAACTTCAGGGCTGGACTGTTTGCTTGCAGGTTGTAGGTTTACTACTGGTTCCTACAGTTTCTTGAAGTGTGAAGAAGATTTTAGCTGGTTTAGTCCGTGAGGCCGACACCTGGTCTACCTTTAAGACTAACACTTTGTGAAACTTTCCAGGTTTAGAAACCTTAACGTCTGGTGTAACTCAGGTTATCACCAGCTGGAGGTCAGGTTTAGCTAGCTGGAGGACATACTGACTGCTCTTCTTTCTCCTGCTACTCTCCCATGTAGCCTTTTTGCTCTCTGCGTCATGGCAGATGGTTTTTGTTGACGGTGTCTTTCTGTGAATGTTTAGTTTTCCAATCTGAATAATAAACTGAAAGTGACTGAACTGTTTTATAACTTGGATCAAATTGGAATTTAAGTAATTGGCTTGAAATGTGATTCGATTCAGTTAACTCAATATTTATGTACATAAATTAATGACTTCTTTTGTGTTTTTTTGGTGACAACTTTTGCTCTGCATACCTTCTAAATAAATGAACTGCTTTAAAATGAAGATTTATGGACTTTGCGTTTGTGGCGGGAATCAAAACAGTTTAAATGGAGTCATTTAGCAAAACACTTAAAACTTTTCTTTTTTCTTTGCTCCATAAAACCAACGCAGAAATAATAATAAAAGAAACTCAAACGCCTAGGTAACCAATAAACAGACAAAAAGCCACATTGTCTCATGTGTCATTAAATATATTCATTTATGATAAACATAATATATTAGTATTACAAGACATTACACAACCGTTTTGCACCGGACACTCCTAACAACATTTACAAGCAGGAATATAAACACGAGGAGGAAACTGTTGGGTTCTGTTTACGGAGGACGAGCGGCCTGGTAGGAAAGTACCTTTCAGGAACAAAGGTAAAAAAAAACAAAACCAAAAAAAACCCCACAACAAAGCAAAAAAAAAAGCAGGGAAGAAACATTTGGGCCCAGTCCTGCTCGCAGAATCAAATTTCCATCAAACAGAAACGGTGCGATGCGCCGAGTACAAGCGGCACATCGTACCGTTACGCGACACTTTGATGTACACCGGCGGACTTTTTTTTTTTCTTTTTAATTTCCGCTCGTTAAGCTTCTAATGTTGAAAACAAGGGTTAGGTTCACATGTAGACACAGAATATCAGGTTAATGGTTTAACAACAAGAGGGGAGGAAGAAGAGGAGTAATACTATACAGCTATTTCACATACAGACAGTCAGTCATGCCTTTATGTCGAGTACCAAGTACAGACAGAAGAATCTCTCCGTCGAAATAAAAAGACACTTTGAGGTGATGAATACTTGACACGCACTTGCACAATAAACATCTGTGACATTTTATCACTCCACAGGGTTTTTTTTTTCTTCTTTTCAACACTGTTTTTGAAAATAAATGTGCATAATTCACAATCGTCATCAGGCTCGTCAGCCACAGTGAAAGGTGAGCATGTGGGGGTTTCTAGAAGACGTTCTAAAAGTTTAGTCCGTTATTAGATTCTTCTGTGAGACATCAGTTGGTCGGAGAGGCAGGTCGAGTTTCAGACTAGCTAAGCGACGAGCGCGCGTCTTTTACGCGAAGTTGGAACGTTTTGCGGACGTATCCCATAAGTTTGAAAACTTTAGGCTGGTAAAAAAAAAAAAAAAACAAACAAACAAAAAAAAGACGTAAGTGCATCGTTGACACGTCTACTCTACAATCTAGGTAATAAAATCGGCATCTTCTACAAAAAAAAAACAACAGATAAACAATGACGTATGCACACACACAGTTACTTTACATTGCAGAGGTCACAACAATAAATCGGAAAGTCGTTGAAAAGCGAATTTGGTTCAGGAATTTGTTTCAAAAGGAAAACTCGCATAGATTCTGTAAAATACTTATTATAGATCAAATCTAAGATTGTCAGAAAATGACATCACATAAGATCGACTGCGAAAAGGATCATAAAGGGTCAGCATTTTGTGTTTTCCATTCACGTATTGCCATTTTATAACACAATAACTTCAATTGTTATAAAACCAAATAAACCAAATATGACTTCAAACTAATTTCACTTTAGAATTTAATACCTTGAAATTTGGCCTCTGTCTCTTTAAGAAGCTCCTGCTCTTTCTGAATCTCCGCCTTCAGGAAAGCGCCACAACACAGCTCTTCTATTAACCCTTTAACAACTTTTTTACCAATGTTGCACTGAGCAGCAGCTACTATAATGAGATCAGCAGATCGATCAGCTCCACCAGCTGTTTGCTAATTGCTGCTGGCTAGTCTGAAGGAGCTGAGTGAGGGAGTCTTGAGGGAGCCCTGCTCTGAGAGGCGGAAGCTTGGAAATGACTTGTCTGAGGAGGAGCTTCGTCTCGAAGGCGGGGCCAGGTCCATCCAGGTGATTTGGACAGCTGATTGGTTTCCAGGGGAGATTAAAAGGATTTCTCAAACATGCATGAAACAAAGTGTGAGGGAGCAACATTTTAACATGATGTTAAAATAATATTTAAAAAGTTTATTTTGCACAATAGTACTCCTTAAACACCTTAGCACAGCCACAAAAACATCCTAGCTCAAGAACTGAGTGAATGTATCTCACATTCCATGGACATAACTTTCAGTCGGTCAACATTTATGTATGAAAAATCTTGTTTCATTACTCTTATCTTATGTGATATTAAAATTTTTCTGAAACACTTCAGCGTCGCTTTTTCTGAGCTGTAATTTATGATAATGAAATGAACACTTGAAATATTGGGCATTGAACTCACGTAATGGTTTCACTTTGGAAAACAACCAAAACAATTTCACTTTTCAACGATGCTTTAATATATTCAGATGCACCGGAACTGCAGGTAACAGCTGAGCAGAGAAGAAGAAAGGAAGGATCTCTTAGTTCCCAGAGCCCAGTGAGGTAACGCGCCTACATGGTCAGGAAGTTCCCGGGAAACATGGCACTCAAGAGACTGGCAGCTCAGAACGGGTTTAAACGTTTCGCAAAAGTAGACGACAGTTTGGCAGATCTGCAGGAACGACCGTTCATACGTGGGCGTGTGTGCGGTCCTGTGATGCTCCAGAGCAGTATTTTTTTTTCCCACCCCCGGGGAGCTTTGCAGCGTGGCGGGGAAGTGCGTTGTTGTACAGCGACATCATGACCTAAGAGAGGGGTTTCGTATGAGTCGTGTCTGTGGAATTAGGTGCAAACTCTGCAATCACACGATATAACACACCTCAAAGACGAAGAAACGGAACAACCGTAGCGCGAGCTCCTTCACACACACACAACAAAAGTTCCTAAAAACATTATTCTCTTTTCCTCCAGCTCAGAGCAGCAGCACTCAGTCTCCACCAGTTCTCCTACTCTTCACTTTAATATTTTCGTCCCTTTTATTTATGACTATTTCAGTTAATCCATCAACCATCACTTCTCCTTTTGATCCCGGCGGGAGGCGTCACACCAATCTCTCTCCTCTTCTCTCACCGACAAGCCATTTTTATTTTTATTTTAGCACTTCCCCCTCTTGCTGCGCTGCTGGAACTTCCTCAGCCGGCGGCCCCACAGGTCCTTCCAGGGGATGAGCAGGCTGCCTTTGTCGGCGACCACGCCGCTCTGTCCGGGCGCGTCGTCGTCCGAGCCCAGGAGCAGGTACTTCCTCCCGGGCTTGATCTTGGGACACTTGCAGGCCACGTCCTTGGCGCGCACCCACAGCAGCTGGTCCCCGCGGCGGATGCGGTGGCCGCCTTGCTTGTAGACGGAAATGATGTTGACGGTGAACTTCCACCACTCGCCTGCCTTGTCGCCTTTGAGGACGTGAACCTGGACGGCTGGGGAAGAAGAAGAAGAAAAGCAGAGGGTCAGCTATCTGTGTGAAAGATGAGTTAAAGGGAAGTAGGTCAGTTAGTCTGGTTTCACTTTGGCAAACTTAACATGTAGATGAGTGTTTTGGTTCAGTTAAAAAAAAAAGTAAACAATAACAAGCAACATGTCTATAGAGATTTGTGCTTTGCTCACTGCAGACTAAGAACAGAAATGTTACTTGCGTTTTACAAACTGCAGACATTTTTATTTTTTTGTCAATTTTTTTCAAGTTTATTTGTTATTTTCAAAATAGCACATCACACATTCAATAAGATTCACATAAAATTGTAGCCGAGTGGCTGATTTCAAGTTGCCACGCCACCTTTTTTCCCACAAACATTTAGAGAACATTGTATAAAAAAAGAGCAGCGTGTCACCGGCGCCTCCCTTAAACTCTGACCTCTGACCTTCGCCACAATGCGAACACTCTCACCAATATGCACCAGTTTCCACAGGAAACCCCAACAACAACTTTTCCAATGACGAGCGCTCAGGTCACCAGTGGAGGAGCTGGATTTCTTTAGTTCTTTTGAACATATCTGATGCGTACAACTCCACATCTGCAAGTAATAGAACTTCTGAGTCAATTTATTTTCCCCGTTTGATCCGTCAGGTGTGAAGTTGGACAAAAAAACCCCACCACCACCACCCCCAAAACCTGGTACCTATCTGGGACTCTGCTTGTGGTAGATATTTTCATACCAGGGAACGAGTCGAGCCCAAAGCAGAGTTGCCGATTACCATGTCACAGTGAATGCAACAAGGGGGTTAAACAGCTCGGCAGCGTTGCAGCTAATGTGTGCTTGAAGTGAAGGGCTTTGTTCTAAGAGTTTAGCCAGGAATGTCCAATTATGCCGTGAGTGGATGGTGGTTTTTTTTGTTGTTTTTAAATCAAAAACTGTGGGAATGATTTCACCTGAGCCAAATTGAACACAGTTCACAAAGCAGCAGACTGATTTTATTCAAAATGATTGTATGAATCCAGGGTTTTTCTGATTTTTTTTTCTTTTTTTTTTCTTTTTTACAGTACACTTCAATGTTAAAGCAGGACTGTATGGGTTTTACACCATAACACTATGCACAGTGGAAAACTGAGGGCGTTTTCACGCCTGGGAGTCCAGGAGACTTAATCTTGTTTCGATTGAAAACCAAAATGGCAACATTTGCTATATTTTCAGCTGGTGTGGTCCACTTTCACTCTGCACTGCATCAAACAAACCAAACCCTTTGAGAAGTGTGTTCCCTTCCTCACCTGTGGTAGCGCTGCACCACAAACTACTGAAGGAAACACAAAAACCTTCCTCTTTAAACGAAAATGGAGTTGCATCAGATTTTAGAAAAAGCCCACGAGTCATTTCTCAAGCTAATGCTAGACTCTTGCATTTGTTTTGATTGTATTTACCCAGAATGCCCTGTAATATAGAGCACTTCACAATTAAGTGTCACTTTGTGTTAGGGTGCATTTACAGGACAAGTCTAAATGCACCGTAAACATTACATTTATATGATACATAAGGAACATCATTTAATACGAATAAAACTTCTTCACAATTTCACCTTTTTTTTTTTGACTGTACTGTGAAAAGAAGTGTTTCGTTCTTTTGACAGTACAGTGTGAAAGTGAACCGCAGCAGCTAAAAATGCAACAAACGTTGCAAATTTGGCGTCCAAGTCTACAGGACCATCAGATGTTAACACCCTGAGAGACCGTCAATCACCCCAAAACAAATTCATCGGATCTGCAACTGTAATGTAACCAAATGGGAAAAATGCTTCAAGGGTGATAAAGGCAATACAAAACTAAGGTTACACGTCTTTTCTTTTTTTCCAAAAGAAGGTTTTCCTTTTCATAGTCAGTCTTCATCAGTCAACCCCTGTCAATACCAGAAAATGAATTGAGGTGTTCAAGTGTGCGTCCCTCAATGCGCGGCGTGAGCAAATTGCACACAAATTCAGGAGAAAGAAGGCCTGTTGGGCCGAGGAGAGTGAACTCTCACAGCCCTGCCATTCACTGCAGCCCTCTCCTTCACCCTGACACATAAAGGGTGTGAGTGAGGGTGGAGGGGGTGGTTGATGGGGTAGAAGCCTGGGGGCCACTATTTGTCTTCGCAGCTTGAGGGGGGAAAAAAAAGGTCCGGGGGAGAATCGGGATGTGTTTCCGACCTCATGAGCTGTCCGGGGTTTTGCTCCCAGAGCTCCATCCAACTCCACAGCGTGAGAATCCAGCGAGGGGACGGGGATCGCCGATGGATTCGGTTGGAGGAGACCCTGTTGCGGCGCAGGGGGCCCAGGCTCCCTGTCAGTGTCTTGCCTCTCTTGCTTTCACTCTCAAGTGTGTTTTCAGACCTCAGGGTGTATTGAAGTGCACACAAACCCCCCTCAGGCACGCACACACACGCACACACACACACACACACACATACACCTTGTGCCACTTGGTTTAAGTTAAATAGACACCAGTTAGAAAATGGAAGCGGCGTTGTCGAGGAGAGGAAGTGCAGGATGATCTCGAGTTCCAACAATGGCCGCTGACCCGAGTCTCCCTTCCAGCCAGACTTCCCACAGAGTTGATCTTCTTTGAGTGTGCTGCTGCTGCTGTTGCTGCTTTTGACACGGGTGGTGGTGTGGTGGTGGGGAGGAGAGGCTAATGAAATTAGAGCTCGCCTAATTAGCGCGCAGAAGCTGGTTATCAGCTGAGTGAATGATCGCGGATCCTCCACCCTTGGGTGACTGTGGAGAGATGGCCGGGCAGATCTTTTGATTCATTGTCCTCTGTCCGGCAGTAGGGAGAAAGAAGGAGGGGTACACGTGTGTGTATGTGTGCAGAGGAAGAGTCGTCGGGCGAGAATATAATCCCTTTGTGTCTGCCGTCTCCGTAGCTACGGCGCTGATGAAAAACAAAAATTGAACAAACAAAACATATTTCTCTTTCTCCGAGGGTGGCAATCCGTCACTGTCTGCTTAATTTACCACCTGTTTGTGCCCCGAGGAATGCTCTGCACCGGCAAAGCCCACAACTGTGTTTAAACAGAGGGCCCCTTCCCGTGACCCCTGGGGGGCCTGCATCAGCACTCACACGCGGGGGGTTTCCCTCCCCGAGGAAGAATAGAGAGGAGACTCTGAAGCTCCACAAAAGCGAGGCGACAAGCCTGAGAAATGAATTAGACCGTGGCAAAGGGAGCACACGCTGAGCGCCGACGTCGGGCTCGCCGCCTCGACTCGGGTGTAGAATCATCTGCTTCCAGAACCTTGAGAGGAGTCCAACGGCAACACGCACGCCTTGCCTGAAACGGGCCTGAGTGATTTATAAGCGCGCTGCTGCTCCCAGCGCTGACGACTGAGATTCAAGTCAATGGAAATATGAAGAATGACTGCATATGGCTTCGTCTCCAAACGCTGCAAATGGACTGAATTAGCGCAGACTCAGCTGCGAGGGGGGGACTGAAATACATTTGGCCGGCGTTCATCTGGATGATATAAAAAGAAAGCAAATCTGCCTCCCTGCTGAACCGACGCAGTTTTGCTGATAATGATTTTGAAGTTCAGAAATATCTACACAAGCAGGAATTGGGTGATTACTAAACTGTACGTCTTCCCCTAAAGCTGTTGAAAAATGCAACTGACAAAATTCTCTCACTTCAATTTGAACTTTGATTGGGCCATTCTTGCATAGCTATTTTGATCGAGAGGAGTGGCCAGCTCCTGCAGACGGGCACCAGTAACTTGCACGTTTCAGATTTTCTCTTGACTAAACACACCTGAATCACATGAATGGCTCATTATGACGCCTCTATAGAACCAAATGACTTACTGAGGAGGCAATTCAGCAATTAGCTCAGCAATGTCAGAGCAGAAAAACATCACTTTAGGTAGAGTTGGTGACTCTAGGTCAACTGTTCCCTCACAGGAGGTCACCTGTTGGGGATTGGACTTTACCAACCCTGATTGGTCTGCCCGTTTAGCGACAGCCATCAACGCTATTTGAGGGACTTGAGTTGAATCTTATGTTGCCAGACAGAGTTACTGCTGTATTCTCTATGAGGCACAAATCTGGAACTGAATCAGAAAACTGCAAAACAGCTGAAACACAGAGTTCCTTTGAACCGTAACTAAAACCCCCCGTTTACAGCTGCTTTCGATCCATAATCACCGGAAGATCAACCAACATATTTGATGTGCCTTGGTGGTTTTGATGACGGCACTCGACAAAATGTAATGTTTGTTACTGGTGACTGTTTGATGCTTCAGTTACATCTCAAAGCACCTTGAGACGCCTTGTTGCTGAAATCTGCTACATGAATAAATTTGATTGTCTGAGATTTGACGTATGTAAAACTCCTGAAAGTTTTCCCAAATTGCACAAGTAGACCAAGTTCTCTAAAGCATCCTGGTGAACGTATCACTTGCTTCTTCAGTCTTTTGGAATATCTGCCATAAGATTAACCCAATTGGTTCCCTGCAGTCATAAGAAGCAATAAATTACAATCTCTTTGCAGGCCTAAAATGCATATTCAGTCACTATCAACCAACAAATCATTGGGCATGAGCATTATCATTTTATTTGCACATATGTTAGTTGATGAGCATTAAAGCTAACTTGACTAATATTAATTGTCTTGTATAAAGTTAAAGGGGAATCAACCATATATATTTTCTCCTTTTGCACATTTAGAGTTCAAATAAATGTAGACATTAAAAGGCTTCCCTGTGGAAACCTTACAGTATTTTTGTTCTTTCTTCGTCCTGCAAGATAGAAAAAACATTTTTTGTTGAAAACTATATTAATTAGAAACAATGCTAGACATCACTGATGTTAAAATTCTGGAAGTGCATTGCTGAATGCACTAAATGTTTTTATATTAATATTGGACATAACTGGACAGATTTCAGTGTGTTGTGGGTCCTTCATGCAATTCAAGTCAGCCCTTGAACATTTCCATTCAAGTCTTCCCAGAAGTCCCCAGAGTATTATCGCAAGAGATAAGACCTGGAAATACGTCAAGGAAAACATCTCTCAGATGCAATCAGATTGAGCGAATCGGCACAGAAAATGAGCAATTACCAATGTCGGAGCGTTGGCTAGCGTTTGTGTGTCTTGAAAAGCTCGGTTTTCGCTGTCCGTGTCTTCCACTTAAGATAGGATTTCTGAAAACACAACCATGCTCAAGGGCAGACCTCTCAACAGCCCACATCAGAGACTTCAAACTATGTCGGGCTAATCAGCAAAAGCCAACATGGACCAGTTATGTTTTCAGTAAATCATCAATGGAGACACGAAGACGAAGGTTTGAGGCACGGATTGAACGTTATTGGGCAGGGAATAATTGAGGCGTTTGACCTCATGAGTCCGGACTTTCGTATGCGAAGCCCACATTCCTGTCTGCTGGACTCACTCACCAAAGTCTTTCTTGCAGTACTTCTTCATAGTGATCTTCATTTTTCCCTTGGAGGCTTTACAGTAGGACTCGCAATCTGCCAATGAGAAAAAGGAAAAAAAGAAGAGGTACATGTTAGTGATGTTTATCCAGCTGTTTATTAAATGCTTTGGATGATGTTTGAAACTTTGCCCCAATTAAATCCATCCAGATGCAATACTTCGTTAGCAAGAATAAGAAAACATTTAAGCAATATCTTAGTAAAATAAGCCAGTCACGTTATTGCACGATTCCAATTGGTTGATCATTATCTGACCACTTGGCGACACCGATGGAGTAGCAGCATTTCACTCCCAGATGTTAATTTTGTCCTTCAATTTGAAAATAAAATATAAACTAAAATGACATGACCTAATGGAAAAGTAAAGTACTTGGTTGTGTTGCGGTGGAACACTGTGAATTCCACCTTATTAATCCCAGCATGCACAAACTATTCGGAATGGGAGCGGAACAGAAAAACAGCTTGCATACTTAAATGATGTGGTGGGACGTGATGTTCCAGAAAATAATTATTTCCCAACATTTAGTCCTTTCAGTTTTCAATTATTCTTAAAATTGAAACTATGCTTTTCAAAATCTATGCTCAGTGTTGAACAACAGCGGAAAAACTTTGTCGATATTCCACTAGTGTAAAACAAATTCCACAATTTTACAATCACAGTATTTCCATTAAATAAAAAATTTGAAATCACACATGAATATATTTGTTCACAGGATAAGTTGTTAAAAAATATGTTGCGCCATGACCACACAACTACTTCCTGTAGTCTTTTTTTGTGGTTTCCGCCAGTAGCAACATCCTGTTGTTGATCATGTGACTTGTGTGATGCGTAGAAAGTGTTGCTGTTGCAGTTTTACAAAATGAACCAATTTTGACATGCCCAAAAACACCATCCTGGTGCCAAAACGTTTATCTAAAAAAAGAAAGAGCTTATTTTTCAAATTGACGTGTTTCCATTCAGTGAATTTACTTTTGAAATGGATAAATTTAAACGTAGATACGGTTGTTGGTTTAGCAACAGTGACAATGCTAAAACACATGCTGACTTGAGCCACTTGCACTTAGAAATCACTTGCATTCATTGTCTTTGTAATTGTCTCTTTTCTTCTGCTGCGCACTCAAATTACTGGCAAAAAATAAATAAAAAATTTCTAAGAGGCTGAGGCTTCTATGGTGCTTTAGTAAAGGGACATTGTTAGCAAGCCAAGCGAGGAAATTGCTAGGACTTCTGTAAGGTCAGAAGTTATCTTTCAGAGTTTCTCAATGAAGTAAGACGGGGCTCGTCTTAAGAGAAATGTAAAAAAACAAAACAAAACAAAACAAAAAACAGTTTGTGTTGTCCCCACAAAATTGAACAATCAAGAACAGAATACAAACAAAGTTTTTTCTGAAATGCTTCAAGTTACTTTAACAGAAAAAAATATGAGTAGGGTTTTGGACAATTTCATCTTTAGTCTTCTAGGACCATATATGGTTGAAACATAGGAAAAAAAACATTTATCCATCGGCCCCTGAATGCAGCATGGGCAGCATGTCGCCAGGACGTTATGCTTGCTCTCTGGCTAGCGGATGTAGTTGTATTGTACTCATTTGTAGTGAATTTATAATTATTTTTTCTTTCCTTTTCCTTACCTTCCTCTTATTCTGGCTGGTCAGACTGGACTGGCAAATATGTCAAACACAGAGGGAGCACAATTTTGTCAGAAAATTGACATTATTTATGTAATTGTGTCTTTATTTCTGCTTTGCTGTGGATGGGGAAAGATGGAAAAGCTATGGGAACGCGTTAAAATGCTTGAAAATGACAGTCAAAGAAACAAAATAAAAGCTTCAAACCGTTGGTACAACAAGGTGTCAAGCTGAAAACCCATAAAGCTCAAACAATTAGCTCACACCAACTTGACTGGATGAAGTAAAGCTGACAGCAAATGAGAAAAGGCAAACTTTTCTCAAGACAACAAATCGCAGAGTTTCTACATCATCTCGTGAAACGATCTGGTTACACCCTTAGCGCTGAGTGTCCCACTACTTTTGTTCCCAGACACTCAAGGATGCCTTTGGAGAAAGAGTGTGAAACAGATTAAAGCTTACACACATCCTCCCGTGTCTGTCAGCACGCTCCTGCTCCACGCCTCCATGTTTCCCATTCCGGCCCCGCGCTCTCGTCAGTGTCCTGCTGTTTATTGTGCAGGTTACCCCAAGGTCACCCCCTCGTAAAAGAAGGTCACTCAGGGCGGGGCGGAGGGAAGTGGGGGGTGGTGAACCCCGTCAGAAATTAGAACCCTTTAAAGGCAAAAGCTAGTAGAGAAGTAAAGCCCAGTGATACGGTGGGTAGCAAAAAGCCTTAGGCATTTTTTGGGGGTGCGGGTGGGAAAGCTGGGTAGGGCAGTTTGAAGAGAGAAAGAAGGAGTTTGGGGGAATGGGGGGGCAGTACAGAGAGAGAGAGGGGCTGGGGGGACCTTTCAGCTCGCCTGAATATGGACAAACTTCATTATTTCTTCCAGCTCTCTGTCCAGTCTTTCCCTTTCTTTCCCATTATGCTCTGTGTGAATGAGGTTGCCTAGGTAATGATAGAGCAAGAAAAAAACGCCCTCTCACAAAAAAAAAAAAAAAAAAAAACGGGGAGAAAAAAGTGGCAAGATGAGGATCGAATTCATGTATGAGGAGTGAAGTCGGAGAATGCCCGGCTCCTTTCTGGGGAGAAAATGAGAAAAGAGGAAATCCCAAAGTAAATGAAAATTGGGGAGTTCATATCGACCACGATTGATTTCCATGCAAATGAAGCGACAAGGGCAAAAGGAGGGGTGCTCTTTATCTAAGGGGGAGGGGGGCCTTCATCATGCTTTTGATAGCTGACGTTACCCATTAGCCCTGCGGCGCGCTAGCCGGCGCGTCCCATTGCGCCTGCGGCTCTCATTAAGGTCCGATCTCCCGCCGCGAGGACAAACGCCCCCTTTGTGCACCCACGTTCATTCCAGCGGGGGTCCCCCCGGAGACCGGCGCTCCTCCTAATTTGGAGGGTGGTGTTCGTCTTTGGAGACGCCTGACAAGAAATCCAAACTCTCTCAGCGGGTCTCTAAAGCCGGGGGGGGGAAGCGAAGGATAGCGACAAAGCTCGGTGAAGTCAGCGGCGCCTCATTTGGTGAGGAGGGTTTGGGGAGGGTCTGATCGATGACTAGAGGTGACTCGGGTTGTTCAAACAAACCCAGATCAGGCTCTCCTGCTCTTTAAAAAAAAAAAAGAAATAAACTTTTAAAAGGTGAACGAATCATATTATGCTGGCAGTCCGACATGGAGACTCTTGTTGGAGGGTGGGGGGAAACATGAACAATGAGGTCCAGCAGGGCTTCTCTTCTGGCACGGCAAGCCTTGATAGAAATACAAACTGGTGCAAATGAAGCATGTAATCAGATTAGAGCTGAAGCTCTGGGGAGGCTGCTGGGCAGGCTGGGAATACAGGCGACAAGGCCGCAAGGAGAGCTGGCAAAATATCTGGAGTTTACATCAGCGGCGGTCTGATCTCACCGAGTTCGGCTCATGTCAGTGCCTGCGCTTGAAATACGCTAACGTACCATTATACACCCCAAAGAAACAGCTCGCCTGAGTTGTTATTTCATAAAATCGCTCCCAAAAAACTACACTGGGTTTGGCAAATATACAAATTAAAGCTCAGTTGGAGTGCTGCAGAGGTCAAAAATGTTCTGGTCGCTCACCTGATGGCTCCTCGTAGTTGCTGTAAGTCGATGTTGGAGATGCAACAGGGATTTCTGTAGGACAGAGATGAAAATTACACATTTTCGTAGCAATCAAAAAAACTGTTAGGTTTTTTAAAAAAAGATTTAAAAGCATAATTTCACCGAAGAGCACTTAAAAAAAAACTTAAATAAATTCCTTTTCAGTGCTTTGCAAAAGTATACACACCTATAATTACTACAAATTCAAATGAATTCTTTTGGGTGTTGTAAAGTCTAAAGATTTAGAAATACAAATTGTGGTGCATGTTCCGAAAATCAAAACAAAACAAGCAAACATTCAACCTAGCATTATGCTGCCACCACCATGTTTCTCCTCTGGGATTCAGTTGAACATATCAAAATTAAATCACACACTTTTTACTTTTTAGGTGGCTTCTGAAGGCTTCTGTCTGTCCAAGAAAAACGTAAAGTAGGGTTGAATGCAAAAGCACGCCACACTTTTCAGAATATATATATATTTTTTAAAAAGGAACATAATTTTTTCAAATGCGTTGTGTGCCAAATGTTCCTTACACCGCGTAAAATTACTCGTATGACTGCTCGCTCGCTGTCTGAGATGAAATCTGACAAAATGTTTTCTGCTAAAGAACAGTCAGTATTTTATGAATCAGCAATACAAATTTTTCTGCATAATTTCATATCATTTCCTTTAAATCAAACTCAAAAATATACACATATTACATCTATAAATAAGCTAGGGAAGCTAACATGACGAGCGAAAGCTTTTTAAACTTCTCCTATGATGTTAGATATTTGAATAAGTGCGTGTACAATCAACTTTGTGTTGCTCTGTCAAACAAAATTCCAATAAAATATGTCTTAAAGTTTATGGTCATAAGATAAAATGTGAAAAAGTGTAGAAAAGAAGCATGAACCCATTTGCGAGTTTTCCTCTCTCTCTCGCTCTCTCTTTTTATTGCATCTCTGCTGTAGGGTTTTCCATAAATGTTCCCCTCTCTCTGCACTGATTGTGCAGGTCTTGTTAAATTCATAGCTGGCAGAAAGTCTGATATCGGTAAAAAGTTTTACAACATACCATTAAAAAGGAAAAGACATTATCTATAAAAGAAAGTAGATATACACGAGAAACCAAATACATTCACAGTCTTCGGGAACCCTAAACCCCCCCGTCTGGTTGTCTACTTTACGTAGTGTGTGGTTACCACACTACGTCCAGTCATGTCCACCTGAGCGACACGGGGACACAATAGCCGGCGCGTCCTCCTTGACATCGCTGTTATCTGTTGGTGGCAGCCAGCTACAGCAGGTACTAGCGCCGTATCTCTGCTCTGCGTGGCGTTTATTGCAGAAGGTCTGGAATCTGCAGGCTGCAGATACGGCCAATGAACACATCGGCCGCCGTTCCTTCCCTCGGAGCGGCTGAGGAGATTTATTGCGAGGGGGCACCGTTAGCGGGCGCTGAAGACAAACACGGCCGTGTCACACGAGTCCTAACGATATGTTTGTCCAGGCTGCTGGTTTAAAAGGCTGAATATCTCTTGGAGAAAAAAAAAAGATAATAATAATAATAATGGCGCTAGGATACGACGACAATGCGTAGTTGTGGTTTGGTGGACGATAAGCATGTGAGAATTTCCTAATTTTAATTGGCTTCAGAATTTATAGCTTTTATATACATGGAGTGTTTTTTTTCCCCTCCATTTTACCTCGGTGTGTTTTATTGGGATTTTATGTGATAGTCCAACACAAAACAATGCAGAAATATGAAGCGGAAGGAAAAGGAAGAAAAAAAAATTTGATTTAAAAAATCTAATTTCTTCTGTATTCTTGCAATAGTATTCACACCTCACTACACTCCCTTAAATGAAACACTTTGTCATATCACCTTTAACATGTTTTAATGCTTCACATTAAAAAACTGGAAATTTTGTCCATTCTTCTTTGCAACATAACTCAACAAAACCAGACTGGATGGGGAGAAGCTGTGAAAACTAATCTTTTTTTTTCTTCTTCTTTATTTATTTTAATCTATTTATTTTTGAAAGAGTCCTCTCTCATTGCACAGCGGTCAGAAGCCAAAGAGATTTACTTTCACAAGCGTAGCATTACAGCTTTGTTTTTTAACTTTCTCCACGACTTTGTCCCTGAACTGTCCTCTGTGTCTCGATGTCCCCCCCCCATACTCCATTTGATCATTTTGGGATTTCTGAAGTCATTTGATTCCACAGGAAGTAAAGGAGGCAAAATAAAAACGTGTGCCTTGTTGGGACAATTTTATTTATACTTACCCTTTATACTTTATAGTTATGCTGCGTTTGTTTTGTTGACCTGTTTTATCAAATTTTTTCCTGGTCAGTATGTGACTGCTTACTTATGCACGGCGCAATGGGGGAGCGGCTCTGCTGGTAACCCTTGGCGCAGCGGTTGCAGGTGATCCCCGTCACGCCGTCCTTGCAGGGACACTGGCCTGTTGTCTGGTTGCACGTTTTCCCCGCCGCTCCGACCGGATGACAGTCGCACGCTGCGGTGCAGGGGAGAAAACAAGAACAAAAATACAAACATTTATCTGTGAATGAACAGAAGCAAGCTTTTATTTCAATCGGAGCAATTAAAGGTTTGTAGGAAATCGTTGACGCTAGCCGGGTTTTCCTTTCAGACATTCCAAAAGTGGGGGAATGGGCCTTCCACCAGCGTAAAACCTCAGTCCAATTAGCCCGCTCTCCTCCACCCATCATGACCGTAGGATTCTTCATCATCCCCGGCTCCTTAAGGCCCACAGAGGAGTAAATAACTCAATAAATTATAGGGCTTCCACTTTCACCGCTAACTGCGTCTGGGCGTGTGTCCGATCGCCAGCGTGTGAGCAGTCCTCCGTGATCAGACAGGCTGTCTGCTTTCTCGGATCAACTTTCCAATGTGAGGCATTTTTTGGTGGGGGTGGTGGGCTTTTTTTTTTATTTTGGCGGCAAACACGCCGGCTGAATAACGTTTCCCATTAATAGACGAGTGGAACGCACTTCAAAGTCTGTTTGGGCTGTTAGCTGGGAGGATCGCACATTAAATGTGAGAAATTTGTTGTCGGGTTTGCGTGTGTGTGCGTGTGCGTGCCGGACTTCATGCCAAAGTTTTACCATAAAGCCCGTGTTTGAAGTCGAAGCCCAGCCTCGCTATTAGTCCCGCATGTATTATAAGTACCAGCCGAGTCATCTCGAAGAACGGGGCTTGAAGTGGTCCGGCTGATGCTGGAGGTGCTTGGAGCTGGAACGTCTCCATCAGCGTCATAAGGTTTCGTTGAAATCTCTCTGTGGGAACATCACACCGCTCGGCCCGTCTGTCGGGACTTGAATTCCAAGAGTTTCTGACAGAGGTTGACGTGTTTTAGATGCCGGGTTTATTTTTGTTTCATTGAGGGCGTTGTTTATTAGGGACGGAGATATTTATTTTTCTTTTAAGAGAATAAAGTCACAATCTTATGAGGAGAAAATCTTAATATTAGAGGAATAAAGACACAATACTGCCAGAAAAAAGTCATACAATTACATATAAAAGTAAGGGGTTTCAGTTTTATTAAAGAAAAACAAAAAACTGTACTTTTTATTATTTGTTGTTTAGGAGTTCTCATAAAATTGCTTCTGCAGTCTACTAATATTACAACTTTGTTCATAGTATTATGACTTTATTCTTCTGTCATTACAAGTCATAATGTTATGACTTTTCTTTTCATAATATTATAACTTTAATCTTGTAACTTAATTTTTTCATTGCCCTGGTACTCTGTCATGTTTATTGAGTTATGAGGAAAAATTTTAACTGCACAGCAAAGATTTGAATGAAAAAAATGTGTTCTTCTCATCTCTTTGTTTTAACTAATATATGTGCATAACTCTTATTTTAATATTATATTGCCATTTCTAAAGTGGTCACTCACTTTTTGTTTTTTTTATTTTTTTAAATGTTTTTCTACTGGTTTTAAGTTCAGCCATTTTCAGTCGTCGTTCGTTCAGGTTTTAAAGGCGACTCTTAGAGAGATGTTAGCGGTAGATGATGCGTCTCTGTCCCGTGTTTACTGGGTTCTTGTTCTAATCCTTACACACACCACTATTACATGCTGTTTGTTTCCCACCCTATGTGTCCCGATTGCAGCAGTTCAGCGGCAAGTGAGTGAAAAAGGAGCCAAAGTCAACACAGAGATTCAGGAACGGCCTCGCAGGACGTTAGATGAGAATCGTTTTTAGCAGAATGCGAGAGTTTCTGGCTCCTTGGATGTAAAAAATAAAGCAATTGGATGTGGTTTAGGCTTTTACAAGCAGGCAATCATTTTAATGATCTGTTTTTACTGAAAGTCTCGCCTTTTTTTTTACGACGGACTAAATACAAACTGAGTATGATGTTCTTTTGAAGAGCTATAATATATATATATACTATAAACATTATGAAGTGAAAACAAAAAAATTTGTTTTTCACATTTCCTTCCTCTTTTCTGTTCGCTAAACACTGAAAAGAGTTATTGAACTCTTCGCAATTGAACTGAGAGTATCGCTGAAAATTAGTCTTGCTACAGACACTCAAGTGGATTTGATCCTGGACTTTGACTGGACCATTATAACATATGAACATTTTGAATATGCTTCACCTCAGTCTCACTCTGTGTTTATTCGACTTCCCATCAACCCTCACCAGCATTCTCGTCTCTACCGAAGCATGACGCTGTCGTCGCCATGTTTCATTTCATACTACATTTCAACTTAGCATCCAGCCCAAAAAGTTCAATTATTTGACTATTTACACTGACATTAAATTGCATATTGGGATTTGTTATTCAAAAATAACTTATTGATCGCAAAGGAAAATTACATAAATTGTTCAGGGGTAACAGAGTAAAGAGGGGTGGTCACATATGGACGCCGTACTTTTCAGATTTTTCTTTGGAAATCATCAACTATGTTTTGTTAGTTTATTATACAATATAAAAAAAACATTTAAAACAAAAATACACTAAATGGATGTGAAAAGCTTATGTCTATTAAATATTGGAGTTTCTCCATTGTTGGCATTTTTTTAAACACTTTCTTGCTTATTTCACCATAAACTTAGTTCTTTGTTTTCTACGTCTGTCACTGAAGTAAAAATGTTGATCAGTCTATACTCAGCTGCTTATTTACTTGTGTTTAGATTCTACTGTCTTAGCTTATTCTCTGTATCCAGTTCTTTAAGATTTATGTTCCCCAGTGTGTTTACTCCTCCCTTGCTCTTCTCGTGCCATATCTCTTGCTCTCTCTTGCTCTTCCTCAGCCCGCCTGCCTGGTCTCCCCTTCAGCTGCGCCCTGTTTCCAAACAGTCACTTGTCTTTTTATCTACTAATCAAGACGCCTCCTATATAATATCCTCATGTTCTATTATTCACACCTTCTAATTACATACTTATATAATAATAATAATCATATATATATATATATATATATATATATATATATATATATATATATATATATATATATATATATATATATATAGCTTGAATTATGACAGGATATATGCATAATGGAAATTTTTAGAGTGCAGCCATCTTTTACCATACTATACCAAATTTATTTAAGAAGCACTTTAAATACCCACATGACCAAATTGCTGTAATTTTTTTAATATGTACTTGCCTAAAGTTTTTTTGGCAAATGAATTTCTTATAAATGTTTTAAGGCCTTTTTCCCTTAAACAACTTTTGAAAAAAAGTTTGTGATTTTTTTTTTTTTTTCCCCCCAAAAATTACTTTTGGCATTATTTTAGGAAGATTATGATATAAAATAGTAAAAATAATAAAATATTTCCCTTCAAACAAAAGTGATAATAGCAGCAATGGTGATCTGTTGTTTTGGAGGAAAAAGAAGGATCCATTTCTAAAATTAGAGCCCAGAAACGAAGAGTGGTGAAACGTCTGCAACATTTGGACCCCACTTGGAGGCAGCTGCTTAGTTCAGTTTTCCCTTACTGTGTCATGGCATGTAAAAGTACGTCAGGAAAATTCACAACACTAACAAAGCTTTTATATGTCAAAACACACTTTTTTACGAGAAGTTGCCCAGGTATTTCAGAATTTCTGATGCAACAACAATTTCTTTTAAATTTTTTGGCATTTTTTTCTTTTTTGGTTAAAAAAAAAAGTCAAACGTCTTGATTTTGAAGCTCCGACGGAGGGCTTGGAGAACCGAACGGTTGCCGAGGGCTTTGGGGACTGCAGTGCAATGAACCGTGCACCACCCTCGTCTCTGTGGACTCACCCGAGGCTTAACTGCCAAATTTATGGACGGAAAAGGTTGGGGGAAGAAAAAGGGGGGAACCAAAGTGGTGGGAGGTAAGCAATGTGATTCTCCAAGAGCCATGTTTACACTGCTCTTGATGAGGAGCGAAGCTGTTAATCTGGGAAATAATGCATGGAGCCGTTCAACGCTATCCACTTTTCTTTTTTGACTCAAAGGTTAAGACTGCTGAGAGGTGAGGTGTTGAGGGGGGAAGTAGGTAGTTGGGCGAGGAAGGAAAGCAGGTTTCCTCCTGGCTTCGTTGGCGCCGCTCTCTAACTCCTGTCCAACAACAGCAGAGCGAGACGGGCGGCTGATTCGAACAATAAATATGGCGGTTTTTAAACTGATGTCGCGACAGCTCGTTTTTGTCACCTGAGAAGAAAGGCAGCAATCAGACTGTTTGGATTTGATCCCAGAGCAATGAGTCCTGGCGGGTGGGCAGGCGGGCGGGCAGGGAGGTGTGCGGGGGTAAGGCATGTTCGGGTTACCGTTCCAGCTGTTTGGGAAAAGGTTTCGCAGAGATGTATGGGTATCGCAGTATCATCAAGCAAAAGGGGGAAACTTGTGTTAAACTAACCTGCTTCTAGCTCCAACCCCTCCAAATGGAACCACTCCCAAGTATAACTTAGGGAAATGTTTAGGCTGGAAGTCAGGCTGTCATGTGTTACGCTAAGTGCAGACTATCTGTCAGGCTTGTGTTCACTATAACTACACCAAGTTCTTCTATGAACTGTAAGTGATGTAAAAAGATATGAACACTTCTTAGTGGGCAGAAAAAAGGGCTAACTGTTGTGGCATGCGGCTGAAAATCAATCCTGCTGTTCCACCCAACAGAAGATAGGGGCGCCAGAGGATAGACATCAACAGTTTAATTTAGCTTGAAAGTTAGCGCAGCTTGATGGTTAGTGCTGCTTAAGGTGACAAACATGGATATGAATAAAGCAGCTATTTTTTCTCAATTTTATGAGTTACACGATAAGACTGAAGATGTATTTCATTATGATAACTTAAGGGATGGGTTTATCACCATTATCTTTGTTCATCTTATCCTTAAATCAACCCCGGTTAACTATTTTAAACAAGAATATGAACTAAAAACATGTTTCTTTGAAGAGACTTAAAATAATTACTCAAACTAGCTACAGGAGTTTTTATAGAGAGTCTGAAACATTAGCAGATTTTAGCTAAGGTTGTTAATCCATGAGAAAACTGTATTTTATCTTTGTTTTCAGCTATACATACACATGCACAAGCAGTTAGCGCACTGCTAAGATATTTTACTGATAAGATTCCAGCCAGAGTGGCAGCAGTGTGTTTGCACGAGGTCCTTCTTTACTCCCAGAGGTCCTTCCACACAGAAGGAGCTCAGCTTTTGTCTCCCCCATTTTAATTCCTGCCAGCCTGGTCTCAAACCTAGCGAGTGCGCTCACATCTGTGTGTGTGTGTGTGTGTGTGTGTGTCTTTTTTCTTTTCTTTCCCCGTACACGCGTATGTGTACTCGCCGAGTGAACAGAGGAGAATGCCGATTACCTGTTTGCTATGCTTGTCTTGTGAGGCGTTCATGGAGGACCTCAAGTAGTAAATTTTGGAATTGCATGGGTCAGTTTGCTGAAGATCGCCTTAGTCGGCTTTTTCCAAAGGAATTCGATTATTACCGGAACCATGTCAGCAGCTTGTTCTTCTTCTTTCTCTTTTTTTTTAATAAAGTATCAGCTTGTCTGTCGAACTATACATATAACAGCCCTTATAAAAAGTATTCACTAACTTGGATCTTTTACCCTTTCACTGCTTTTACAAATGAATCATGATCAACATAGTTTGACAAAAAAAAAGGGAAAAGATTAAAGAAGTCATGTAATGTCAAAGTGAAAACTGAATTAAACAAAAATAATGACAAATTAAAAAAATTAACACACATTACTGCATATATATTCTGCAGTCATGGTCGCAAATCTAGATGTGAACAGTTCTTTCCAAGTCTTGCCATAAACCAGTGCTTCTCAAATAGTGGGGCGGGCCCCCTTTGGGGGGCGCGGTGCGATACCTGGGGGGGCGCGTGTGATCCTGGGGAACAGGCTTTTTTTTGGCCGTACTAGTATAAAGTGTAATTGCGCACAGTAGGCGGCAGTGGCGCTCTCATTGTTACTTCTGTCACGTTTGCGACAGTGCAACATTTTATGACTTACAAGACAACAGGTTTGCCTTGGTTAGCAATGTTAAGTCAACAAAAAGCTCCGACTGCGTTCTGTCTCTGGCCTCCGTTATTCAACAACCCCCAACATGAAAAAGTTTTTAACAGGGATGAAAAGAAAAGCGGAGAGATACAAAGATAATGAGACAACAGAAAGTCAACCGAAAGCTAAGAAGAGGAAATACGATGAAGCGTATTTAGCGCTTGGCTTCACTGTGACTACAGTTGGAGAAGAGGAAAGACCGCTGTGTTTGCTGTGTCTAAAAATGCTCGCAGCGGACAGCATGAAGCCAAATAAATTAGCGCGTCACTTAAATACACATCCCAATCACGGCGATAAGCCGCTAGAGTTTTTTCAGCGAAAAAAATGTTAATAAGGAAAAAATTTTATGCAGAGATGGATAGTCACGGTGGGGAGTGGGGGGCGCGAATAGTTTTCTTGCTAGGGGGGGCGTAACGGAAAATAATTGAGAAGCACTGCCATAAACGCTGTTGGATTGAGGTCTGTGATGTACTGGTCCACTCTACAACATCCACCTTGTCAACTTCAGTACAGCTCAGGGTTTTTCTATTCCGATGCAGGACATCTAAAACGCTGCCCTGTGTGTTTTAGATGTGTTTTGGTTGCACAACAGCGGATTCAAATAGCTGCATGACCTCCTCTGCATGCCATCAAGTGCTGCAGAAGCCTGTTAATCATCCACTTATTCAAGTCAGGTGTGTGGACGAATGGGGAACACGTAAAACATGCCGGGCATTGGTCCCTGAGGACCCCCAGGAATTGAGAAACACAGCTGTGGCTGTCTCTTCAGCGTTGTCATGGCAACCTGGTGACCCCTCCATCATGTACCTTCTCTCCTATTGTCATGACGACCTGATCCAGGTAGACTTAAACACAAGGCCATATTCCTTCTATTTCTGGATGACGGATTGAACTGAACTCCATGGGATGTTCAGTGCTTCAGAGATTGTTTTGTATCCATCTCCTGACTTGTACTTTCCAATAACCTTTTCTCTGGTTTACGTTCAGTATTTTTTTTTTGTCTTTATGCTGCACTGGTAGCAGTGGATACTGATCAGCCTTTGACCTTCTGCAATTGACCTTGCAGACATAGTCTACAATCATATACAATCATATGCTACACTCAGGCAATCTCCATTTTGTGGTGAGACTTCTAGCACCAACTGGTTGGACCTTTGATGAATTAGGTTTGTTACTTTGAATAAGCAGTATTATTTGTTTTCCAGTCACACAGTATCATTTTATAGCACAGTCAAATTACTATGGTACCTTCCGTTGTTATAAAAATGCTGCATATATCAAATATGGTTTAAAAGATAATTTGACTTTATAACTTACGCCTTGAAATTGGGACTCTATCCCCCTTCAGAAAGTCATCACAACATGGCTCCTCTATTCACCGTTTAGCAATGGTTTTACCAGAGTTGCTCTGAGAAGTAGCTCCTTATAATGAGGACTTCCATGGGGTGCTTGCTAATTGCTGCCAGCTTGTCTGAAGGGGCAGAGTGGAGGAGGCGTGGGGACCTCTGTGGAAACTCAGCCCAGCTCCAAGGAGGAGCTTTTTTCACAGCTGAATGGTTGGCATGGAAATTAAATGATTTCTCAAACATTCACGAAAGAATAAAGGCAACATTTCAGGTATGTTTTGATGGGGGAACAACATTATAACATAATACAAGCTAAAAAAAAAAAAAGTCAACTTTACATAACACTTACCCTTTAAAGGTGGTGAATATTTATGCAATCCCTTATTTTATTTTACATATTTTAATTTAATTTTCAATATTTTTGTAGAAATCGGTTTTCATTTTAACATCAAAGATATTTTTGTAAGCTTTTTGTGTCAAATTTTGTTGATCATGAATGATTTGTGAAAGAAATAAAGATGGTAAAACATCATCTTACATTCAGCCTCAACATGCATCTTTTCTGGGTCGTATGGTGTGGAAACAGGCTTCCACATCTGTTTTACAATTTGTGTCTGTATCTTTTTCTGATCCTATCATTCGACTCCGTGTCTTCCTTTCAGCAGTGGCATGCATAGCGTCAGTTACCTTTGCAGGCTCTGCGGTGAGAGATGGACTTGGTCATGTCCCTGTAGTAGCCCTCCTTGCAGTAGTGACAGTGACGCCCCGCTGTGTTGTGACGACAGTTGAGGCAGACGCCGCCACTCCTGCGGCCGGACAGCTTGTACAACTCCATGTTGAAGCGGCAGCGGCGGGCGTGCAGGTTGCAGTGGCACGCTGGGCAAAAACAAAGGAGATGACAAAGAACTCAATTACCTGACATTTGTGGCACAAAGAGTCTGCATCCACTGCCATGAGCAAGAAAAGAAAAGAAGCATGACATCCCTCTGACACAATGTGGCATGAAAACTGTTGATTTTTCAAAATGTCTATGTACTGCAGATGATATATTCTAGATAAATTTTATTTTGAGCTTTGAAACTGTCAGCAGTGACTTGGCCACCCAACTAAGACCTAACAAAATCATTAAAAATCAAATTTAATCCGAAAATTCCCCAAATATTCTTATCACCATGTCTGTATGTGGAATAACACACAATTGTTTCATGAAAGTTCTACACTCAATTGATTTTGTACACAAAAAAACCCTTCATGGTAGCAATATTAGTGATATTGAGAAATTTGTTAAAAATTTATAATACCTCTGCAAAAACTCTCAGAATATTCACACCTGACTGTTTTTTTGGTCCAAAAACTGTCAAAATATCTCAATCCACCGTAGTCTAAAATGTTTTCAAAATGAAATTCAAAATTAGCCAAATAGCAAATGTTAGCAAAACAGACCCAGGTATCAATGTTAGCGATATTGCTTTTCATAAACTCTGTGATGCTGTGAGAGCTCAGGTGAAACCAGCAGCACACTGTTCTAAAAAAACAAAAAACAAACCATCATCCTCCTGCTACTTCCTGTCGTGTCTTTGTAGTTTTCGCCAGCAGTAACATCCGCCTGTTGATCACGTGACTCATGTAAAGCAGAAAAAAGTTGCAGTTTTGTGAAATGCATCTAATTTTGATTAGATGCATTCACCACGTCATCCTAGCCCCTAAAACTCTTAATCGAAAAGCAAGTTGTTTTTTTTTTTCAAAATTGATGTGTTCTTATTAAGAATTTTTTGTGGGGGAATTTCAATTTGTTTTGGGAAACGCAGCTATTGTGTTCACCCTCGCATTAGACTTTTGCTATGCTTGATACCGTCACACTGTGGCGATTTACAAACTAAAGAAGAGCTGAATTTTGATGTTTTCAAGTTTTACTACACGTAAAACTTGAAAATATCAAAATTCAGCTCTTCTATTAGCTATTTTTTTCATTTGACTTCATCACAAAAACATTCTTAAGAGAAGCCCTCCACCCTCCTTCATAATACCTCGCATTTCGGTAATCTCTCCATCGGTGCATCGGTCTTACTGGCATTACAAAGAGATGAGGGCGATAGGGACGTCACATATGCTGCGTATTTATCTGCTCTCTGAATCACGTAAAATGGGCTAACACCTGCCATTGGAGACCAGGGCTGGCAGGTGGTTGGGATTCAGAAACCCTTTCTCCACATTGGGGGTCCAGACACACATACACACGAACACACACACCGACCACAGAGGTGTTTGGCAGCTGTGATGGGCTTATCTCTCTCACTTCCCTCTCCAAAGCTGATCCAACATGCTCTTTACCAGCTTTGAAAAACTCCCCTCCTGCCCCCTCTCAGTGTTTTGCTGGTTTCTTTTTCCAGATGTTATCTCCACTTAAGAGAAGTGTGAGGAAAAACGCAACAGGGATCTTTTAGTGCTTTTTGTGAGTGGAATGGTGAATTGAATCCACGGCAGGGAAGCCTCAACAAAGAGGTATCTGCTGAAACGATGCTTCAAAATTCAGAGGAATAATTTCCTCTGAATTCTACAGCAGGTGCCAGTATTTCTTAGCACTGATAATGGATGTGGAGTTTTTAACAAGCAGAAAAACTTAAGAGACGAATCTTTTCTTTCAAATCAGCATTTTCTCACCACCTACTAACTTATCAAAAGAAGAGTACTTCGCAATTTTAAAATACTTTTTTGCATCCCCCTAGTCACGTGATTAAGGATGTTACTACTGGCAGAAATGACAAAGAAGACAACAGGAAGTGGAAGGAGGATCATGGCATAACAACAAACGTATCCAGGTATGATTTTAATTGTGTTTCTTATTTGATGGGAACACAATAATTGCAAAATTGCAGGGGGGTTCAACATTAGCGGAATACCGACAAAGTTTTGCGCATATTTTTTTTTAATGGAAACGCAGTTATTTTTGATCATTTTGTCACAATTTAATCCCTGGCTGAGGTTGACTCTCATGGCTGATAAGATGCTTTTTCTGAAGCCAGATGGTTACACTGGATTTTATTAAGGAGTTTATGAGTGAAAGCAGCCCAATACATGTCCATGCTACACTTTTCATATTTTTATTTGTAAAGAATTTGGAAAATTGTGTACAATTTTCCATCTGTATTACATTGTGTTGGCCTGTCACAAAGAATTACGATAAACCCCTTTGAGTACATTCTTAACATGGGGCATACACTTCATTTGGAATGGAGGATGATCTAAAATGAGGTTTTGTTGAGTTTTGTGAGCCTACAGTGAAATGTAGCCGTGGAACAGCTGTGTGCTGGGATTGGACATCCACACACGCAAGGTGCCTTGTCTGGATGTGAGTCTATTTGCTTTCAAGAGCCCACTTAGAGCTACGCTGCTCCAATCTATTTGTGTTCAAGTGCCATTTTATCAGGCATCGTACAGCGAGATACAGTCATTCCACCGCCTGCTGGATTCAAGTGTTCACTGGGTCTTGTACCAGAGAATGTGGTTTGGGAACGATTGTAGATGATGAACAATGATGAAGATTGTTTTTTTTTGGGCGCCTTCGAAGGAGACTTGAATTAGCAGTGATCTGGAAGGAAAACAACACTTCTCCCGGAGAATGAGAAGGACTCAATAGCAGCTTGGTTGGTTTTTATCCAGGTCCATTTACTCCCTAACAGCATCTTATCGCATTCAGTCACCCATATCGGGATCAAATGACGTTTTCCCAATCAAACAGGGTTTGTGTCTCATCTTGGATGAGATTGGAGTGACATACTTTAGTTGGTTTTAGAGATCAAGCGAAACAAATGCAGAAATTTTATTCACTGGGAGAGCGCTCTGAACAAACTATAACACTGTTAAAGTGCTTGCATAACACTGTATGTGGGTGATACTGTGTTATGAGAGTTGATCAAAAACCATTAAGTGCCTTTGCACTTGCTATTCAGAGGTTTCTTTAGAACCTTGTTGAAGCACAGATTTTGTATATATTACAATAATTTTACAGCTTATATACAGTTCAAATATGTTCACAGCAACTATTGACAACTATTAACTGTTATTTTTTACAACATAACTTTATTGAGATAAACAAACGCAGTCTAGCCTGGCTGTTGCTGTCCAACGCAATTATGCTCAATTCTCCCTCCATAGATGCAATTACAGCTGCAAAAACTAATACATACATAAAATACATGTTTGTATGTCTCAGAGGAACAAAGCCTTTTGCGAGGTTCATCAACCCAGACTTGATGAACCTTCCACGATAGGGTAACTTTTCCCTCAATCTGTTGTTCAACAACCGGCCACTTCACCGCATAACTATAAATCCTGTCGTCAAACGTAAAATCTACCTAGAGTCGGTGATCTAAAATCACTTTCCGTAATCAGACAGATCCCAGGATTCCCAAAATGCTCTAACGTCCAAGAATTTATCATGAAAACATAAGCTTAGCTTGTGTAGCTATAAAGTTACACCCTTCTTTACAAGCTTGGCTTAACATTTTGTTCTTGAACAACCATAAAAATCTAAAAGAAAATATAAAACTGTATTCCTCATTAAAAAAAAATATATTAATTTTGAGAACTTACAGTTTCTGTACGGATTTTATATCAGTGGCTCTTAACCTTTTTTCTGAACGGCCCTCTCTTCTAGCCCCAGAGCTGTCTGAAAGGCCACGGCTCACACACTTATGAACAAAGGTTAGGACAATAACCCTCTAATGGATTTTTTTTATTTTAGTCATATCAGAAAATTTCTCTTTGCTTTGGCAATATTTAGTCACTATGATCCAACTTCAAACAAGGTGAGTTTGTAATTGGAGATTTTCTTCTGCGCCTGTGATGAAAAATACAAAAAATGCCAAACTGCCTTAAAGACCTGTCATTTCACAAACATGCTTCATGCAGTTCTGTGTGTAATAGCACCAAGGAGTGCAATTAAATCCCAACACCTTGAGAAAAATATGAAGAAGTTCTTACTTTATTGCATTTTTCACAAACTCCAGTTTAGGAGTTTTGCTTTTGTTCAGGCAGATCAAAATAAAAGCTGCATAAATAAAAGAGTACATCCTCCTGTGCCATTGCTAAAAGTACATTATTGTGTTGCAATGTCCTATTCAAAGTCCAGATTTAAATCCAGTAGCAATTTTGTCAAAACCCCTCTCTGTCCAATCTGACTGAGATTATGCTACTTTCCAACAAGGATTGGGTAACAATTTCAGTCTCTACAGAAACCAGTCACAGTTTAACTGCAAAAGACTTACAGCTCTGACTGCAATGAAAGCTGATTCTACAATGTCAGGTAAAAACCTTACTGAAAGTAGAGGCACCTCTAAAGTTATCGTTTTTTTCTAGGAGGAAAAAAAAAGAAAGCCTTTTCTCCAATTATTTCCTGCTATGTTTTTCAGTAACCAGCCAAAATGTGGAAAAGTTGAAAGGGTGTGAATATTTTTGCACATATGCTAACCATAATGGCCCACCCAGGGGATTGCTTTTTGGCGCAGAAACCCCCTGCTTGGGAATCAAAGCTGGATATAATAATCATCAGCTGATAAACTCGCAGCGTTATTAACAGGTTGTCTTCATTATCCATGTTGTATTTCACTCTTGACCCGTATGTTAATCTCTGCATACAAATGACATAAATTTCTCTAAATCTATGCCCTTGTTGTATGCCTCAGATTAGAATTGTTATAACTTTTGCAAAAACACTCAGTGCCATCGCAAAGCAGAGCGTTTTTTTATTTTTTATTATTTTATGGCTTCACGTTAACAAGTTCTCTGATTCTTCACCCTGAGCGGCCAGAGGATCGGCTGCCGCCTGACGCGCGAATTCCCCCACAGTAAATATTTCAGTCGTACGGCACTGCGGC